GATTAATAATAATAATAACAATAATAATTAATAATAATAATAATGATAATTATTTATAGATTATAAATAAATAATTTAGGGACAAGGGGGTGAGATTAAATAAATTATACCTCTTCTCACCCCTTTTCGAACACTAGATGTGCGACTGTTTGTGTTGCTAATGCTGTTGTTGTAAATGTCACTTTGTTTTGTTTTCTCTTACATGACTATGCACTGCAACATTTTTTGTTTTGTAAATTATTTATTTTACTTGTTCGAAATACATTTATCAATCAATCAATCAATCAGTGCATGCGCTGCATCGTCCAATCAGTGAGCGATATAGTAAGGGGGCTGGGCGAGTGGCTGAGGATTTCACCGGAGGATGGTCTGGTGGTTCCTTGATTATCGCTCATCCGTTATCGCTCCTCGATTCTCGGTCCTCCGGCACAAATAAGGGCAATGGGATGCTACTCAAGATGGCGCAGAAAAAAAAAATCGCGGACCGGTTGTCAATTTTAACTGATTTTAATATTTACTCACCAGCAGGTAGCAACAGAGACTAATTGTATGTAACAGCCTGAAAAAATACTAGAACAATATGCATCCAAAACATATTAACAACGTTTAAAAAAATAAAAGAACCGGTGTTTTTCGGAAAAACTGAAAAACCGAAAACCAAAAAACCGACGTTATTCAGTTTTTAAACCAAAATGGGAAAACAGATAAATCAACATTTTGGTTTTGTTTGTATGATTTACGGATAATCCAGTGAATGCTGGGAAAACGAGGAGAAGGCGCATTATGAAGGAGATGTCCGGTCTCCAGGGTGTGTGTGTGTGTGCAGAGCCGGCCCGACCCATTAAGCGACATAAGCGGCCGCTTAGGGCCCCGCAGCCACTAAGGGCCCCCTAGCAAAATAAATAAATAAATAATAATCTCAGTACACCGTCGCCGTGATAAGTATGTTTAATTAATTTTGGTAATATGCCTAGATTGCCTACTCTCAAAGTCATGTATTATATTATTGAGTCAATCATATAATACCTTAACCGTGCTTTACCTGAACCTCATCATGACACTAGAGAGGACGGCAGGATTGTAATTTCCCGTGTTCAGTGAATGCAACAGAGGCAAGACACCAGACCAACCAGAGAGTTGAATGGAAATAAACATCTGTCTTATTGGCTGACAGGTACCTATCCTGTGAGCTGTGACAATGTTTAAAATAAACTGTCAGTCTCAGACTCAGAGGTTTTGAAGATGGACATAAGAAAACATGTTCTTAAAAAAGAACTAGTCTGCCACTAGTTCTGCTTCTTTTTTCCAACTAGTTAACATGTCAGAGCTTTTGCAGCGCACTAGTTAACTTGTAAGACTTGTGTCACTAGTTTGACCATATATCTAACAAGTGCAATCAAAGAGCCAACTAGTGTAGGCAGCTGCCGTCTGATATGAAGGATATGGAATAAATACTCAAACGGCTTGCCATATATTTGTGAACATACTACCACTTGCCCTGTGGACCAACACGTTTTTTTGTGAGACTGGGTTGCAAAAGCTCCTGGTGTAATGTGTAGGTGGCCCAAGACCTTTTTCTATATACTGTATTGTATGTTATGTGTGCTAGCAGCCAAGAATCCACACTATTAAATAAAGCAAAGTTCATTCTGTTTCTTATTTGTTTAGTGTTTTCCGTTAAAAAATAACAAAAACTACCGCTAAAAATATGGTTAAAAGTACCGGATCGATAAGCAGTATCGGTAAGAGTAGTATCGTTAAAATCTTAACGATACCCATCCCTAACGACAAGTCATTGATAGGTAGGCTATGTGTGGAATAGGAATGGAATAGTGATGTGATTATCTGCAACCTGCAGTACAAATATTAGTTAATGATTGATATATTTTCATAAAAGATATGTGAATTTAAACATCTACTACTCAGGGTAGGCCTTCTAGTTTCAATTAGGCCTCATTATTCCACAGTGCACAGGATCATCTGCCAATACAAGCACTTTAGTTCATGTTCAATCCATAATAACATGTCAAAGTAAAGTTGGACCTTTGTGTCTTGATATTATTAGCAGAGAAAAGGTAATGTTTGTATAACTACAGACAACTCATCCAATCTCGGTGGGAACTGGGTTGGGGGGGGCTCGAAAATATTTCCAATACCCTGACTGAAAAAATGTGGAAACCACTTGCTCAAGGGTAGTTAATGGTCTTTCCTTTGTCATTTGTTGTAAATTCATCCACTTACTGTTCATCTAGCCTACAACTTAAACACAGACAAAAGTGCTAAAATGCTAGCATGAAAACCCAAAACCACATTGTCATCACAACAGGGGGTCACCAAGAGGGAAATCCCATAACAACTTAATGTAAGTTTAATTACACATTTCACCTTGTTGATAATTGACATAAAGGCAATACAGTAAAACATTTGTTATTACCTTGCTACAAAAGACAAACTACCATTAAAGGGGACCTATCATGCAAAATGCACTTTTGTACGTCTTTTATACATGAATATGTGTCCCCGGTGTTCCAGGGAACTCACCAAGTGTCAGAAAACACAACCCTCTCTATTTTCCTCCATACCCAAATCTCTAAAAAAGGGGCTGCAACGGATCTGATAAAAACTGATCCAGATTTGAACACTGTCCTGACGTCAGGACGGTAGCGCTACGGCTATTGGGCCAACTCCACCAATCAGGAGGAGACAACCACGGCATTGCCGTTCGAAAGCGCTGGAGACGTTGTAGTACATATGCCAGGCCTCTAGATGGTGCTGTTCTCACAGAATCAACCCTTGCTAAAACAGATCTAAAAAATGTCAAATTGAGCAAAATGAGGCATGGCTAAAATGCATGATCTGTTTGGTATTTTGAGTATAAATAAGTATAAATATGCCTTATATAGGTATGGTCCTACACTATATTATTCAAATATAGCATGATAGGTCCACTTTAACATTTAACAACAGATATGCTAGACAGAGAGCATGAACTTGCCATGCTAAACAAATATAAAAGGCATCAATATAACATAGTTCATTATATTCAGAAGATACATGTAGTGCAAATGGCTCATGCTGTGCCAACAAGTACAACATACAGCTCAATATTATTAGACAACGTGCAACGGGACCCCTGAGAGAATTGAAAGAGTCAATAAAACAGGTCTGCAAGGCTTTCTATATGATTTGTATGATTATGCACATGGGTGACAACATGTCACTAAGCTGTAAAGGAATGAATTACATCAACATCGGAGACTATTGCACAACACTATATGCAAATCTTTAAAAGAGCACGTAAAACAGGGCTTGGATGTATGAGTGGGACTACAGGGTCAGAACTGCAGGTCGATGTTCCTCATGGACACAATGATCAATAACATCTATTGATCAAACATTTATTTTCAATAAAAAAAAATACAATTTACAAACAGAAATACATGATCAATTGTTTAACCTATGGAGAATATGTGCAGTAATTACAAATGTGCTCTATCGACACAATAGATTAAAACAGATGATCCAACTGAAATGGGATTCAAACTGTCAGAAAGTGCATTATCCGGGAATTCAACGCAGATAACCAGCTTTCATCATTACACGAGGCTACCCTGCAGTGGTAGGATGAACAGGAAACGTCGATTCACAGTTCATTTGCACTTTTGACACTTGCTTGATGCCGTTTGAACATGCTAGATACATGCAAAGATATAAATGCAGCAGGAGAAAATGTGTATGGTGGTTCAGGCAACATCTGGCATTGAAGCTCAACCAAATGAAGATAAACTACTTACTGTATAACCATCTCCAAACACAGGTATGAATTGTATTTGCATGCAGAAGTTGTTTATTTGATCTTGCAGGAAATGTGTAACAGAGGAACAGTATAGGCTCTGCATTAGTGTTTGGTTGGTTAACAGAGCATCTGAATGAAAGACATTTACTTTCATTTCATTCAATACCTATCGGACATCCTTCACCCACATGCCCCACCCCGGAACCTGTGGTCTTCAGACTCTGGCCTGCTTACCACCCCCCGCACCAAACTGCGAACCTTCGGGGACAGAGCCTTCAGTGTGGCAGCCCCCACCCTCTGGAACGCTCTCCCTGCGGAGATTCGCAACATCCCCACACTCGACGCCTTCATAAGGGCCCTCAAGTCCCATCTGTTTTCCAAGGCTTTCGGCCCCTAATCGATCTGTTGTTTTGTCTGTCTGACTTTTGTTTTGTTATGTTTGTTTTTGCCCTATTACTGTACAGCGACCTTGGGTCCCTTGAAAGGCGCTATATAAATGCAAGCTATTATTATTATTATTCATTTGGAAAGGTAAGTGTTCTCAAATGGCTTCAAGGGTATAATGAAGTTATTAATTAAGGAAAACAAAAAATAATTTCCACTAGAATGTACATGTGTGCCAAAGTAAAAAGAGAGTGGTATTAGATTCCTCTTGTCAGTAGGAAGACTGCTGCTCTTCTTTGCTAATAACACTCTCTTAACTAAGCATTACTACCAAGGAGGGTCCGGTAGGGAAATGTTGTTCCTTTTTAAGGCAGCCAGTCTAGCCATTTCTCTGTTTCCAGGCTTTATGCTAAGCTAAGTCCGGCCTTACTGAGTGTGCTTCTCAAGGTGTCAAACTAAACCAATGAAGAGAAGGCATACAGGGGATTTTTGTGGTGCCAGCGATAAGGTTATATGGTACATGTTACATATTATGGTAAAGCGGTATTTTATTGTTTGTATTGCCATAAAGGATTCTACAGTGTTGCACAAAGCACAGATGAGTATTCAGTAATAAACTGAAATGACTTTACTATTCTACCCAAGTCTGGTTTGAGCTGTCTGTTGTCCAAGGTAACCAGGCAGGACGATACTCAGTGCCATGGCTCACCAGATGCTGTTAGAACCAACAAGTAATTAGTGTGTGTACCCAGGAAACAAAGGCATCGAGTATATATAGCTCACACATCATGCGAACAAGATTCTGACACCACGCTGAGGCTGTTTTATTCAAGACGGTTTTACTTTATGCTCCAAGTTCTTTTCCAAGTACATCACATTAGGAAGTTTGTAAGTGTATTCAAGTTTGCACTAGCTGATGATGTTGTATTATTGCTGATACATGGCCGGGTGCAGAGGAGCAGGGTTCTGCTGGGGAACACTTCAGTATTGTAGGTTAATATGATATTCAGCAGTGTAGCACACAGATGCATCAACAGTCAAACGGAGAGTTGGTCTGTGGGTTGCGGATAAACTTCTCATGTTGTTAATCTGTTCTGTGGAGACTTCGAGTCGCATCCTCAAACTTACTCTGACGCCATTTTCTCTATGTGGTCACTCAGCAACTTGTACTGTTCTGCAAAGGGTAAAACACACACATATCAGTTTTGAATTTGCAGGGTTATTTTTGTATAGCAGGAGTAAGACCTCATTTCCAAGTCCCATGTCATTTGTAGAGCAGAGACTGTGGACGTTTTAGACCATACAACAGCTCTCCCTTGTGGAGACCTGAAGCTTGCCAAATGTGAGTAAGTGTAAGCTGGTGTTTGTGGATTACTATCTTACTCCATTACATGATTTACATCTAAAAACACCAAGGAAGTACTTAGGCTGAAAGCCTGAGAGAATGTATAGATGTATTTATTGCTTCAATGTGTTACCTTCATTCAGGCTCCCAATGACCGCCTGCTTCTTCAGGAAGTCATTGCAAAGCTTCTTACTGAGCCCAAACGCCAGCATGTTATGAGTGAATGTCCTGAAAATACACATAGCACCAAACTCATCTCAGTACAAATGGAAATTATTTCAAACATACGCTACATTCTGTATTCATCATTTCAAGAAAAATATGGTGCCATAAGTGCCATTAGAAACGCAGTGTGTCAATATAAATGAAATGAAGATAACCTTGATATTTAAAAAGTAAAGTATTGAAATATATAGTATCTAATACAAAAATGCTTGCCCTCCGTTCATGCCCTTCCCCTACAGCCCACACACACAGGCCAGATGTTAGGCACTGTGGATTTCTTCCATTCATATTCCCTTTGCTCTTTTCCAACTTTTGTACAGTTGTGCTTAGACAGTCTCTACTCCTCCCTTTGCATACACATAGTGAGCATCTAATGAGTCTGCCATCTGGTCGAGCCCTATTGTGTGTAGGGAACATCTAATCATGTGGTATGTCAATCCAATAAGAAGGACATCTTTCAGCTCTTTTGAGTATCTAATGTAATATCATTTACTTTGTAACTATTGGGTTTACATTCTGCCTCATGGTCCACTATATCATTTATGATCTGATTATACAAGGACAGACATATTAGTTGTATTCAAACTTAGGTTCATGTCCTTTATAAACGCAGACGTAGTTTATTAACACCCATCTTCCTTTTATTTATATTATTGGGAGCATTAACTTGTTTCACCACTGGGAGGCCTTGCTGAGCAACCTGGAGAAACTCCTCTGAGCTCTCAGCCCCCCCCCCCTTTATTCTCTGGCACTGTGGCAGCCCCTCACCCCAGCTGGCCGAAGGCGATGTTCTCGTCCATCTTGGAGCTGTCGTCCCTCTCCTCCTGGGTCATGTGACACCACTTCTCCCTGCAGCACAGACACAGTCAGGCTTTCATTCCAAAGTCTCCACTGAACATTCAGCTTCTCTACAGAAACACTTCACTTTATGATGGGATGCAACAACAGGGATTCCATTCAACCTAAATCAAATCAACAATAACAAAGAAAACAATAAGACATTAACCATCCACTAGCAAAATAATAAAAACAAAGAATTAATTCACAAAGAGTTGTTAAAAAACAACAACAGATGAGTAACGAGTGAGACAGTAGTAGGGCTGTGCGATTATGGCAAAAATCATAATCACGATTATTTGGGTCAATAATTGATATCACGATTATTAAATACGATTATTCATTGACTTTGAAAACATCCATTTATTGAACTTTAAAACAAATAATAATTTGAACAGTATCTTTTTAACTGTTGATTACCCTGAACGTATGATTCAACTGAAAAACCAATAAATAAAATAAATGATACATTTATATTTACATTTAAATAAATAATATCAAAATAATAAATACCAATAAACAAGATCAACAAATATTTTGGAGCGCACTGTCACAAGCTACTAAACATATATAAATATGATAAATACAAATAAATTAGACCAAAATTAATTAGATCAAATATGTTGCAGTGCACTGTCACAACCTAGCAAAATAATTGTTTTTTCCGATTATGTTGTTTTCGTAATTGTGGCAGGCCAAAATCGTAATTGCGATTAATTGCACAGCCCTAGCCAGTAGTATCATTTATTTCTTAATCAATACCAATCAATTAATCATTCTGTGATCAAATATTTCAAATTGCAGATCTGTACAGCTTAATCCACCTTTTATTGTATCTGCAAGTTTTTAAATGTATATTTAGAAATTCTTCCCAGTGCTCTTTGCAACCTCTGTAAAAAAGGTGATCATACTCTGTCATGGCTGCAACACACACACACACACACACACCACACACACACACCACACACACAACACACACACACACACACACACACACACACACACACACACACACACACACACACACACACACACACACACACACAGCACACACACCACACACACACACACACACACACACACACACACACAGCACACACACACACACACACACACACACACACACACACACACACACACACACACACACACACACACACCACACACACACACACACACACACACACACACACACACACCACACACACACACACACACATTCTCCATGTTCGGACTGAACAAAAAGTTAGCGCTAAATGCACACAAAATTACAAATCATCATGTGACCACATCCGTACCAGGTCAGAAAATGCTGTATTTATTTGTATCTAGCTCTCTGTCCCATTCAGATTTAATTATGATTTCCAAACAACCGCTATACTGGACCGCCATGATGGACCCAGATGCAGTTCTAGAAGGTTTCTGATATAATTGCAAAGCTTCCGTCCTTCTCCTCTCCACCTGGATTAACCTTTGCTTTGATTTACTAGATTTTTTGGGCAAAGCAATAGAAAGACAGACCTCTCGTCTTTCTCTTCTTCCTGCGTTCCCCCGCCCGGCAGCAAAGCACAGGAAGACAAAGGGTTAAAGTCAACATGCACATAGAGGGAGGAAAATAAGAGCTAGTAGACAGATAGGCTCAATCCCAAACCACTCCCTCGACCCTACCCCTCCGTGGCGGAGTGAACTCCGTCTGTAGCCACACTCGCAGCTCAACGAGGCTCCCTCCTGTCAGATGGAGGGAGTAAATACAGCGGCAAGCTTTGGGACAAACTCCCCTCTCTCCGGCAGAAACAGGAAATGCCGTAACTGTATGTAACAACGGTTTCAAATCAGCTTCTCTTAGACAAAAAATGTAAATTAATAACTAAAATAAAACTCCAAACATCTCTAATTGTGTTACTTTTTTGTAAAGCTCTTTTAGTTTTAAACCTGATGTTTATAAGCTTCTTAGTTTTTGCAACAGTCTGTAAATATACACAACTTTATAATAAAATGCACACATTTACCTTTTTCGAGACTAAACACAGGTATGATCCTAAGTTAAAAACATATGAGGTTATCATGAGGTTGTTAACATCGCAATTTATCAGTGGATGTTTGCTGGAACTACTTTTTAACAGCGTGTTTCCTGACGGACACACACAGCGTGACTCCGGTCAGGTAGAGACCGGTCTCCAGTCAGCACCGATGCAGACTCGCTGTTTGAGGGCTTGATAGCCCACTCCCCCTCCACACCTCTCCACACTCGTTGGTTTGGAACAGCACTTAATGTGGCGGACCCTCCGCGCGAACGCGCAAACGGAGGGGTAGTGTGTAGGGGTAGGGTGTAGGGGGCGGTTTGGGATTGGGCCGAAGAGTACAGGAGGAGAGGGTTGAGAAGAGGAGGAGAGCAAGAGAGGAGGGGGTGTGGCATCAGGACATTAGCAGCAGTACGGAACACCACTGTCTCTCTCTACACGCAGCTCTGCATGCTACCTTACTCTAAGGTGGTCCACCTGTGTATATTTCATTGGACAGATGTGTCACACTGGTACTTACAAAGAACAACAACCCACTGATTTAAAAAGATACCGCAATATCTATACAACATGGTAACATGTTTATAATAATGTAGATGTATCCATCCGTCTACTTTCCTTTGCAGACTCACCTCGTGGTGGGGGATCTTTTCTTCCTTTCACAATCGACGGCATCAAAAAAAGCAGCATTCCAAAACCTAAGTGTATGCCTGGCAGAGAGGGAGGACGTATTAGAGGGATCCTGTCTGACCGGCGGCACGAGGACAATTCCATTTCAAGTCAAAGTGAGAAATCATAAAATATCAGTCTGCCATATTATCTTCTGTGACCGGATTTTTTTAAACTGGAAGATTAGATCCAAATACATGAAACATTGGTACTTGAAATATTGGTGTCATCAATAAGGAACGAGTAGCTGATATGAATGAGCAGGACTATTTCGGCACAGCAAACCTGCAGTCAATACAGACTGTTGGGCCAAATTCCCGCAGCCAATCAGTATGGGTTTAGATCAGTCTCATAATACACACATGCACACAGAAGGATTCACACTTGTATTTCAGGATGCACACTTGTGTTTTTCAATGCACACACACATGTGTTCCGTTTCATATACATGTAAATAAAATCCAAATACAGAAAAAAGTTTTACATATGTATTTAATAAAATATATAAATAAAATCGCCACTCTCAGTACAGCGCCACTTTCTGAACAGGAAATACACGCAAATACAATATTTTATATTATTATTATTAATAATAAATATATAAATAAATAAAGACAACTTGTATTTTAGTTACACCCGCTATTGATTAATTCGGTCAACATTGGACCGTAGCTAAAGTGAAATAATAGAAAACATTAAGCCTCTTTTGATTTAATAATCGGAGCTGAAACCTCTCTGCCATCTCATATAACACACACTTCCTTATTTATCTTTGAATAATAATAACGTAAAAATAAAGATGACTATACTACGGTCCTTCGGTCCTGAGATTAGCGCCTGCAGGCTCCATGGACCTGTCAGCTCTGGACAGCGCAAAATGCGTATATGAAGTGCTACGTCATGAACGCAATAAATCTACCCTCGTGGGGACGCGCTCATGTGATTGGCTTAGAATGGAGGAGACATCTGATTGGCTATAGATAGAAAGAATTACAAGTACGAATCGGGTGACCATCAGGGGAGTCTCAAAAAACCCACACACGAATGCACAGCGATCCATGCACAGAAAGCGGTTTGTGTTTGCAGGTGCAGCGGTTTTAAACGGAAAACAAATATGTGTGGATCAAAAATACATATTTAAAACTTTTTTCTGTATTTGGATTTTATTTACATGTATATGAAACGGAACACATTTGTGTGTGCATTGAAAAACACAAGTGTGGATCCTGAAATACAAGTGTGAATCCTTCTGTGTGCATGTGTGTATTATGAGACTGTTCTGAGCCCATAAATCAGTGTGTACACATTCCAGAAAGCAGTTGAAACACAGGAACCAGAGGAAAATGTCATTATTGTGGCAAGTCACACTTCGCCACTCCCGGATGTTAATTGTGCGTTGAAACATTGGTTCCCCCTACACAGATCAAGCATAAACTAGCATTTGTAACGATTGACTGTTTGTTTACTTTGTATGTATATCTTTTATAGAAGTTAAAGTGTATATGAAAAATGAAATAAGAATGACAGGACATGGTGAAGCTAAGAGCTCCTGTATGTGTTGTACAGTATGTGAGTTTGCTCAGCTTACCAGATGGGTTGCTGCTTCAGGTGGATGTACAGGTACACCTTCTCTCCTTTCTTCTCCTCTGGAGCCTCAGACACTGGTACGGAAGAGAACATACAGTATGACAGGTACTGGTACATCTCAATACATTTCCACTGATTAAGTGGAGCAGGAGAACTAAAAGCTTGTATACAGTAAATTGAACAAATCTATTTTGGATGCACTGTACCTGGTGCTTTGGGCTTTGTCTCGACAGGGCTTTCCCCATCCCTAGAAAGGAGAATGTGTTTACGAAAAAGAAGAAGTAATGAATACTATTTGACTGTCTGACTGAAAGTAATTTAAAAGAGGGGATGCATTTGCTCACTCAGTCTTAGGAGCCATTGAGCCTCTCAGCTTGTTCTCTAGGCCTCCAAAGAAGCCTTTCACATCATTCTTGGATGAGCTTTTGAGGAGGCGCTCAGCTGCATCCTTCTTCACAGAAAGCCAGGAGTTGGCCTTGTTGATGTAGGAGTCCACAGCGGCTGGAGGACTACCACGGTCCAACAGCTCGGAGGGAGACGGCTGGGACTTCCCTGAACAAGAGAAGACGAGAGAGGTTCAGATGATGACATCTATCTGTATATGGAATCAATGTTTAAAAGCCCAAGAGGAGAATGTGTTTAAACATCAACATTTGTTTTTTTGGGGGTTTCCCTTCCCTGTGTGTTCTATAGGTTTTTGTGTATGTAAGTGGTCGGCTCAGTCTGAAATCCCTGCGTTTCTCTCCCACACACCAAAACATGTGCCTGTCTAAAATGTGATGGAAAAATGTACTTCAGCTTAGCCAGCTTCCACTTAATGAGCTGGACATAAAATCAATCATTTGTCTTGGGATGGATCTTTTAGTGTTCATAAGCAGCTAATAATAAAAAACTGATTAGCAGCTTTACTTCATGCTTAAACACTAATTAGAGCAGACCTGCCTGCAGACAAATGTGGATGCACCATGGCGTTACACTGCTCATTTCAAACTTCCTGCAACCCCACAAAGCACTGCATATACGATACGATAATACTTTATTGGTCAAATCAAGTCTGAAATTTGACTTGCATTACAGCAGCTCCATGAGTAACATCAACATAGACAAAAGTCAAGACGCAATACATGAAAAACAAACATATGTGTTTGTGGAGTTGCTGCAAGAGAAACCACAGGGCCAACCTTTGGGGCCTACATTCAGAGAATCTTAAGATAATAAGTCATTCATTTGAGATGTAAACTCATTACACCTTACCACTGTAGTAGTACGTGAAGCACATAGTCATGAGGTTTTTGGCTGGGCTGTAGTCATCCATCTGGTAACATCTGCAAACACAAAGAGTCTTTAGAGATCATGCGGTCATAAACTCACTGCTGGAATGTATGTCATTTATTGGAGCTTATTCAATAAGAAGGATGAGTAGGTGAGAGACTTGAGATTGTATCAATCAATCATTTTGATCACGATGAGTTGATGCTACTAATCAGGGATGTCTGTGTATCCAGAGTCTATTTTGACTTAGTTTATTTTGACACTGTGCTTCTGTCCTATATAGTCATTAGAGCACCCAATGTGTATTAATCCACCCCTGCAAATAGTCCCCAACAAATTCACTATTTCTACCTGTTAAATTTATGTTGGTATTAAGAATAATCTTTTTTCCATTTTAAATGTTGGTCTTTTCAAGAGGAAAGCAAACAACCAAGAACTATATTAATATTACCGGCCTTATCCGTTATCGTAAAATAGGATTAGAAAAATACAGTGAGTCTCAACAAAGTCAACCACATGTAGACTCACTCAAACAGTACAACTGCAAATGACTGCACCAGTCTGTAGAAGGTGGCTTCACTCACACACTTGGAATGACAGCGCTGTGAAAACAGTGAGACAGAGAGTTAGAAGCTTGTTCAGGAAGGCTCAGCATAAAGACAAGACCATTTCATTTCCTGCATTCATGTAGACTTTTTTCACTTATTAAATGTTATGTTTGGGTCCAACAAGAAGCTGTAATTCCTTGTCTAATGCATTTGGAATATTGCAGTTATGTTTGCCTCTGTATGAATGTGTGTGAGAATAGGTGAATGCTGCCATTTACCATTTAAAGGTCACATATGATGTCAGACTAGCTACCATTGAATGTTTTACCCATATTCACCTGTGCGCTGACGTATTTGGCAAACCACTCCCTGCCTTTGCCATTCTCTCCAATGCACAGCTCCCCAAAACGAGCCTTCTCTTCCTGGTCAAAGTCCTCCCTGTGACAACATGGTCAAACATTTGTGTTGAAGTTAAACAAAACGCCTCGTGCACATTACGTTTATGATTGCATCATTGAGTTCATTTTAAGTGTTTATATGGATACACAAATTGACTGCACTCCATGGATAAAACGCAGCACAACTGCACCAGCTGCTGGGAGATAGGACCCCCTAGAATGGTTAAACCAAGGAAAGACCCCCAGAAGGGAGCCATTCCCTCCAGCTACCTGCCAATAACCTGCCTCTGCACAACATGGAAGGTCCTGTCCTGTCAGGCATCATTGCAGCTAAGATGAGGATACACATGACTGAAACCAACATTGCAACATTCCTCCACAGACCAAAGGACCCTGCCACTAAATAAATTGCAAATGGAGGATTCATCACCTCCCAATCCCCCCCCCACAACATGTATTGCAGACATGTAAAGCGAAGGTGCAAAGTAGGGGATGCCTAACACAAACACCTGAATCCAGAGAGAAGAATGCAAAGATGTAAAATCCAGCACAGCACATTGTTGCACCACAGCCAATACTACACAATGAAGACATATCTAAGGCATAAGATAGGAATTGATAGACATTGTTAGGGAATAATTCTTCTAGATATCTAACCTTTTGCTCTGTGACGTTTTATGATCTACTCTGACGTCTGTTACTGTATCTCCTTTAAGGAAAGGCCTTGGTGCCATATGTGTTGTTGCCACCAGTTTGTGACCGGTCAACTTGTCTGGCACGAATGGTAATTGTTGTGAGAACGCTGAGGCACTTCTTTATCGGTGTTTGTGGACTCTAAGATGTGAAATCTTTGAGGCCATGAGTGTCGGACGCAGGTGGCTCAGTGTTCCCAGCTGTTTAGTCTACTCCTTCAGAGATGTTGATTTCTCTCTGTGAACCAGTTAAAAGGTCTAGCATAGAGAGAGGCTCTTCAGAATTGACGTGGCAACTCTACCGTGTGGTCAGAACCTCTGACTCTTTGATTTGTGATGTGAATCCTCCGGCCGAATACTCTGAATAAACCCATCAGTGTTTGACATCAAAAGCTCCAACTCTCACCGTGTCTCCTTCCTGAGTCGGTGACTCCATGCATTGCTACACAGAAGTTTCCCCCACAGACATTAATTCACTAACAGGGTTTGCTCATTAAAGATAACTGGAGATGGTAGGAAGCTGTAGGTCATCACAGGGAGATTGCACACCTCGAGATTGCATGGCAAAAAAAACATTTTAGACAAGATGTATTATGACATACAGAAGTCGGTCTGCTATCTGTAGGATGGGACGGCATGCCCCCCTGATCAGGCCTGCAACAAAACTGCTAGACAAGTTCAATAGTTCCTTAAATGTCTGTGGAATGCAAAACAAAAGGAAACCAGATATTTACAATTGCTTTTTAGCATTTCATCCTGTTCACATTGAATTTCTTGTCAAATATTAGTGAGTCTGTTGGACCCCTTGGCAATCTCTGAGTGGGGAAATGCTTCATATTCAGTGTGACAGAAATGGAGCATTGTGCATCTCATGATAAGTTAACACACAGGCTGAAGCAAAAATAAAAATGGTTGGCACCAATCATTCAGGAAGAACAAAAAATGGTGCAAAACATATCACTTCATCAACAACAAAACAACAGCTGATTCTATAAGGCCTACTGCTGCGTGCTGAGGAGCTACCATCAAGGATATTGATACTGCTGAGACTGGAGCTTCAGCAGGCAGTGTGAGAGGGAACCATCAGGTCCATCTCAGACAGAACTCAGCCCTCTCTGACGGCCCCTCCACCCTTCATCTATTCCCCTGAAGCTACAGTACAACATGGTGGCAGCCGTCCAGCCACAAGACGTTTACTGCCCAACATCTCTCAGAGAGGATGGGTTAGTAGTCTGTAGTGTCTCTGAGCTACTCTGGACTCTTTGCTTTGTATACCCATCATGCTTGGCACAATTCTGATCTGCGTTCCTGCAAAATTCACTACAAATCTGCACGTTCAGCACAGGGCAGCACAAAGCAACAGCTTTGGTTTTTCCGTTTTCATAACAGGTTGGTTAGCTGGGGCAATGGATTTTGATAAATTATCCTGACTACAACCAGAAGTAGTTTAACTTCACAATTACCACAGGGAAAGTCAGCTCAGATGATACTGTAGATGCATCGAAAATGTCCTTAATTTTAGAATTATCAAAAATGAAATCAATGATTTTTGTTTTTATTGGTTTTCTGAACATTTCAATTGAGTCCTCTTCAGAATGGCCCCAAGTATGACAATGTGAAATTTGAGGTTATTTTACTGTACAGTTCTTTTTTCTAAGAGGAAGAAATCATGTCTTCGTTAAACTCTCTTGAATGTTTTTCCTTCAGAGGTTTTCTAAAATGTTCAGAGTAATCCTGCTCCTGACTATGATATAAAGGTTTTATTATCTAACTTTAAACACAATTGAAAGGCTGGCAGCCCTTCAGTTTGCAAACGTTTGTATGATGAACATTTATGTATACATTTGCTGCTGTACCAATGATCACACTTTATTTCCTAAAGTATATTTTGTAACTTGTTTTATTCGCCTAGCCAGATATCTGAATATGTGTATGATATGCTTACATGAAAAAGAGTCCCTGGTGGTTGTTATTATAATTATTAGTTTTCCCATTGGGGTTTTTAATTTGTCAAGCAGCAGCTGGACAGAGAGCGGAGCTCCTTCTCTCTCAGCTCTGCTGTCACTGACAGGAAGTCCTTCCTGTCAACAGCAATAACCCTGTACAACACCTAGCTTCTCTTTAGTTATCTGGACTTCACACTGTACATTTCACGTTTATTTTGTATTTCATATGCCATTCATTGCACACTTAAAGGGGACCAATCATGCAAAATGCACTTTTGTACGTCTTTTATACATGAATATGTGTCCCCGGTGTTCCAGGGAACTCACCAAGTGTCAGAAAACACAACCCTCTCTTTTTTCCTCCATACCCAAATCTCTAAAAACAGGGCTGCAACGGAGCTGATTATTATTTGAATTTTTCTGACTTCAGTGCTCCGCCTATATGGGCAACTCTCTACCTATCAGGGGAATGAGAGACCGCTCGAAAGCGCTGGAGATGCTGTAGTACATATGCCAGGCCTGTAAGTGGCGCTGTAGTCTGTCACAAAAGCAGAGATCAGCCCAAAAACAGGGCTGGAAAAGAGCAAATAGAGCGAAATGAGGCATGGCTAAAATGCATGATCTGTTTGGTATTTTGAAAAAAGAACTTCACAGACATGTTTTATATAGGTATGGCCCTACAATATATTATTCAAATATAGTATGATAGGTCCACTTTAAGGCAAGTCATATCCTACTTTTATATTGTATTAGTTGTAAATTGGCCCTTCAATGTTCAACATGTTTTATTTGTCAGATAGTTTACAGATTTTTAAATTCTCGGTCAACTTGTATATCTTCTACTTTTTAGTTATGTTTTATTTTCTATTTTGAGATGATTATATTTTATAATTGTTTATTTTCTACTCTTTAATTTCTAATTATGTGCATGCCTTGTTTTGTATGCTGCTGTAATGAAAACATTTCCCAATTTGGGATCAATAAAGTACATCTTATCTTAATCAGGTCGCTTTGCGAAGATGAAGTCATTCTTTAAGTACACAGAGTTCTTATATACAATAAATCTTCCTTACTTTCCATGAAACACCTTCTCCACATAAGCCTTCATGAAGTGCCTCCTCTCCACCCTGTCAGATTCCTCTCCACTGTGAGTAGACGAAGACGAGGACCGCCTCAGCCCCCCCATGTGAGCGGGCGCCTCCATGTCGTCCCCGCTGTACGCCGACTCTGTGGCATCGCTGTGATTGTGGCCCTCATCTGGGGGCTGCTGCTGGGAGCTGGGCTTGGCTGGCGATGTGGGCTCTGGCAGTAAGGGCTGCTGCTGGAATTCCATGGAAGGAGCCTGCTCTGGGGAGAAAATGTCTGTATGGCCTTGGTGCTGGCCTCCTTTAATGCAAAGAGCTGTGGCCTCCGAGGCCAGGGCAAAGTCTGTTAAGTTGTCCACTGCTACACCCTCCATGTTGGAAATATGCCTTTTCCTTTTAGTTTTGCAACAGTTTTTTTTAGCATGAGCTTTTGAGTGTTCTGCAGGAACATTAGGGTGGTCACATTTGTAGGTGCTAGTTAGAAGGGTCACCTGTCCTTAATGGGTTTTAATTTAGCAGACTTTCCCACTGCGAGTTTGCCAACATCGAGAGAGCTCTCCCCACTGCATCCTTGGGACAGACAAAGCAGAAAATGAGCAGCGTCACCAACCTTTTCTATTCAGTTTATATTTAGTGTACATGTGCCTATATATATATATATATATATATATATATATATATATATATATATATATATATATATATATATATATATAGTACCAGTCAAAGGTTTGGACACACCTTCTCATTCAATGGTATTTGTTTATTTAAAAAAAATTCTACTTTATAGATTAATACTGAAGACATCAAAACTATAAAAGAACACATATGGAATTATCTAGTTAACAAAAAAGTGTTAAAAAAAAATCCAGAATATGATTTATATTTTAGATTCTTCAGAGTAGCCCTCTTTTGCCTTGATGACAGCTTTGCACACTCTTGGCTTCTCTCAGTCAGCTTCATGAGGTCGTCACCTGGAATGTTTTTCAATTAACACGTGTGCCTTGTCAAGAGTCCATTTGTGGAATGACTTGCCTTCTGAATGTGTTTGAGACCATCAGTTGTGTTGTGCAGAGGTAGGGTTAGTGCACAGTGGAAAGCCCTATTTGACTACTGTTGTAATCCATATTATGGCAAGAACCACTCAACTCAGTAAAGAGAAGCGACCGTCCATCATCACTTTAAGAAATGAAGGCCAGTCGATCCAGAAAATGTCAAGAACTTTGAATTTATCCTCAAGTGCAGTCGCAAAAACCATTGAACGCTATGATGAAACTGGCTCTCATGAGGACCCCCCGGGAAAGGAAGAGCAAGAGTTACCTCTGCTGCAGAGGATAAAGACATCAGAGTTACCAGCCTCAGAAACCACACATTAAAGCACCTCAGATTAGAGCCCACATAAATGATCAGCTCAAGTAGCAGACAAATCTCAGCATCCTCTGTTCAGAGGAGACTGCGTGAATCAGGCCTTCATGGTCCAATTGCTGCAAAGGTCCACTACTGAGGATGCACAACAAGAAGAAGATAATTGTTTGGGCCAAGAAACACAAGGATTGGAGATTAGACCGTGGAAATCTGTACTTTGGTCTGATGAGTCCAAATCTGAGATTTTTGGTTCCAACCGCCGTGTCTTTGTGAGACGCAGAGAAGGTGAGCGGATGGTTTCTGCAGGTGTGGTTCCCCCCGTGAAGCATGGAAGAGGAGGTGTGATGGTGGGGGGGGGGGGGCTTTGCTGGTGAAACTGTTGGTGATTTATTCAGAATTCAAGGCACACTTAACCAGCATGGCTACCACAGCATTCTGCAGTAGAATATAAATCATATTCTGGATTTTTTTTTTTTTATAAACACTTTTAGTGTTTACTAGATAATTCCATGTGTTCTTTTATATGTCTTGATGTCTTCAGTATACATCTACAATGTATAAACAATTAAAAAAAAATTACACACACACACACACACACACACACACACACACACACACACACACACACACACACACACACACACACACACACACACACACACACACACACACACAACACACACACACACACACACACACACACACACACACACACACACACACACACACACACACACACACACACACACAACACACACACACACACACACACACACACACACACACACACACACACACACACACACACACACACACACACACACACACACACACACACACACACACACACACACACACACACACACACACACACACACACACACACACACGAGCCTGAAAAGCACCAGTTTTTCCTGTTCACACCGCAGGGGAGCCGCCTCTGAGTTCCGGAATCCTGTTCGTTTCGAGCACCAAAAATTGTCGGTCTAGAAGCAAGAACCGCATACGTCACGCTTACGTCGGAGGGGGGCGAGATTAACCTGAGCTAACAGTTAAAGGCGAGTACGGCAAATAAAAGTTGTAACAAGCAGTAGTGCTGAGCAAAGTGACTAGAACGCAACCACACACTTGTTAAAAAAAAACACACTTTATAAAGTCAGGCAACACTAACCAGGCTTCTTGTGATAGCAGGCAGACGTTTTGTATTATAGCAGCTATCGGATGGAATCAATACATGGGCAGAGAGCTCTGAGCAGAGGAGTGGGAAGCCTCCTCGGGAGTGAGCGGGGCCCCGTCCTCCACCCCTTCATTGAAGAGGTTTAGCCGAAGCCGCTAGCGACATGGCATCCTCATGCAGAGGTGCGGCAACTGAAGGAGGGCCAGGAGGCAAGCTAGTAGCCCCCACACCGGCCCCTGGCTGAAGGGCCAAGAGGAGCAAATTCATCTGCTCCATGTTGGCAGCTAACCGATCCAGCTTAGAGGACAGCTTGTTTCTAGTCCTCTACCTGGGGGGTGAACCCCTAACCATCGCTCCATCAAGTCGCCGGGAACGGCCAGACTGAGCTGGAGGAAGTTGTGACGAGGAGAGGTGTCCGTTGGCTGCTGCCAGACGCTCCACCTCTGCGACTCTAGCCACTCTGAGCGCCCGAGGCATGAAGCTACAGTTCATGCAGGCGCTTTGTGTGAGACCCTCTCTTAGATGCTCGAGGCCGAGGCAAGAGGGGCAGCGGTCATGGCCGTCCTCGGGGTCAAGAGAAGCCATACAGGCGCTACATGAATGAGCCATTCTGTAGGTAGCCAGATGCAGCGTAACCGGGAGCGGGTGCGAGAACACAGCCTTCACCAGCTACCTGCTGAACGGAAACAGTAGAGCAATGCTCCTACTCGCCGAACACAAGGAGGGATGTAAATGTCCTACACCCACGTTACCAGCAGAGCGGGAGCGAGAGCACTGCCTTCACCAGCTGAGGTAAATAATGAAGCTCAACAGAACATGCAAGATGCTAGCCAAGCGGCTGCTGCTAACAAGCAAAGCAATACTCTGCCGGGAGCGGGAGCGAGAGCACTGCCTTCACCAGCTGAGTTAAAAAAGCAAGTCCAAGTCAAATAACACAAATGTTAAGACCAGATAATTAGCTTATAAAGAAGAGAACAGCACGACATAGAACCGTAGTTACAGTAGTAACCATGGCCAGTGCTTACACAGCATAGAACCGTAGTTACAGTAGTAACCGTGGCCAGTGCCTACGCGGAAAGTGCTTACACGGCATAGAACCGTAGTTACAGTAGTAACCGTGGCCAGTGCCTAGCATTATTAGCATTAGCATTTGCCCAGCGCACAAACGCAGAGAGACTAACTTATGGCAACACAAAATAAAACATGGGAGCGGTGGAGATGAGGAGGTGTCGGCGTTCTGGCGATTTACTCGGAAGGCTTCAGTCGAAGATGCTGGGACTCCCAGCAGCTTCTACTGAAGCCAGTCCCCAACTCCGGGGACTTCCGGCCGGGGAGTTCGGGTGGCAGTATACACCGTGAAGTGGTTTGCGGCCTGCCAGTAAACCCAAAGCAGAAGAAGACGAAGTGACGTCAGCGGCTCATTTGCGTAATCTTCCCTCAGGGAATTTATTCCGGTGTGAACGCGATCTGTACTAAGTGCCCTGGGGTAATAAGTGCCGGGGCACTAAGTGCCGGCACTAAGTACGGCAAAGTAGTTGGTGTGAACGCGGCTCATGTTTGTGATTGGTCAAATGTTGCTAACCCCGCCCCTTTCATGTGAACGCACACTCAGCCGGACGGAGAAACCCTGGCTTGAGTTACCGAGTTGATAACCAGCGTCGTAGGACCGCTTAGCGAGATCGCGTTTGTTTTGGGTTAGTTAAGCCAGATAACTCAAACATATCCAGGGTATGTTGAACTGGCTTCGTAGTACAGGACTCTGTCCTCACTCACCTTATCTTCAGTGTGTGCTGCACTTGGCATGATTCACACAGCTCCGTTATGCCACAGAGCCTCTTCCACCCCCAGGAAATATTATTCAGCACAGTCGTCTGGAAAAAACAACAGTTGAGCAAAATATGAGGAAGGCGTTGTTCCCCTTGTGGTGCTTTATAGTTAATCTATCTCCGTCTCCTGCCTCAAGAGCAACATGCAGCAAATGCACAGATATCAATCAGATTTGCTTTCATGTGAGATACTGGATTATAGAATATTAATTCAGCATGGGGGCAAGGTTCACTCTAGTTCTTTACCTAAAGAGCTCTCAGGCTATCCTAAACCAAGCTCAACCCGATGGAGGTAGAATCTGAAAGAAAAGCAGTGAGTACATTTGTTGTCTTGCTTCTTTTGATACTTTGGATACATATGCAGAAAGAGCTGGAAGAGTTGAACATGGGTACATAGAAATACAAATTACAAGGCAAGAAACATTAACAGTCAAAGCTGAAACCGGAGTAATTCTGTAATGTGTGCTGGGAGGTAATAATTGGGTGTTGTTAGCTCTCTTTAAGTTTGACTCATCTCCTAGGTTTGTTTACAATTTGTCTGACCATTTGACTTCACATGCTGTGCTGTTATGTTACTAGTGCTCAGCAATTTACTTTTTCGATATAACAAAGTCTGATATTACTGACAGGAATAATAGCGAAAACCAGTAGGTCCATGGCCTGTGTTATTGTACCAAGTTGTTTTCCAAGACTTCTGTAAACCAACGAGTATCAGCCTCAGAAGCGATAGTGGGATAGCAATCGACAAGCGGAGGGCCATCACCCGTTTACAGCAGCTGTGAAGTGACAGAGTCAAGTGTTCTCAGTGAAGGGATGTTGGCCCCAGCCTCTTCTCGTGGACCTAAACCAGGTTGGGCTATCTCAGAAACAATGGTTGTGAATGTCACCTGATTACAGGCATTACCAGGGGCAGCTATCATATTTAACAGATTCTTTCACCAACACTTAGTACCTACAGTTCTTGGGCATAGCTTTGTATGACTGTGATTAGGATAAAACATTCCTATTTTGACTGAACAACATTTCCCAACACCACTGTCGGTTATAATGTTTGTTTTATGAAATAAATACCTTAATAATTGAACTTTAAAGTAGGATACACAGCAGCACAGAACGACAGTGAAGAGTGTGAAAGCTGAACTGCACAACCTCACATCACATGCTGTAAGATGTGACAAGCAGAAGTGGCTGATGGCAGATAAATTGGGTGTAGAATCTCAGCTAAGGGACTCGGTTACAGATGTAATCTGAAAGAGCAGCCAACACTCCTAACACAACAACACTACATCTGTCTTCAGGGGACACACTTTATCTATGGCTGCAGAAAAACAGACGCACTACATCATTATGTCAGTAAATAGGAAAGCAATGTAACAGTTGACTTATTCACTACATCTACCATAAAATAGTAAAAAAAAAGCGTTAAACTAATCTGGTTTGGCTTTAAAAGAGGCCATATTCAGCTCATTCTCAGGTTTCATATTAGTAAGTTTGTGTCTCTACTGCAGGGGTGGGGAACCTCCGGCCCCCGGGCCGTATACAGCCCGCGAGACCATTTGGTAAGGCCCTCGAGGTAATTTATAAACACACGCAAAAAAGAAAAAAATTTAAGAAATCTAGACCGCAAAAGAATTAAACAAGCGAGTGCCTGTTTTTCCTGGCCAAGGTCAGGGTCCTTGAACACAACACGAGCCTAACCTGTCATCACGTGGTATATGTCTCGTCTGACAGGGGTGTAGTTCTGACGGAGAGCACCAGAACGCCACTCCGGCACTTCAGAAATTGCAGTACCCATAAGGAGCTGTACACATGCCGCACTTTCTGCGTGGCTGTGTTTTAGTTGAAAGCCCAGTGGCGATCTGTTCATCTGTCATACTGATCATACAGTCAATAACTTTGTTGTTATTAGCATCTGGTTCAGGGCCGTCCCTCCCTACAGGCCGATCATGCAGACTACATGGGGCCTCACCTTGCGGAGGGGGCCTCACCTTGCGGAGGGTGCCTCAACTGAGCCGAAAATGCGGCGCACCTATGCGCTTATCCGGCGCAATAACGGCCCGTCCACACAGCGGCGTGTGTTGAAAGCTTCACCATTCACTTTGAATGGGGTGACGTCACTTTTCGCCGAACTGCATTGTGGGAAGCGAAGCGGAGCTTTGCTGGCGTGGCTCGCTGCAAAAGTTGAGCAATGTTCAACTTTTGAAGCCTCGGCAGAAGCATCAGCCAATCGAATCATATACCAATCACATGAATCTCCCGCCCCGGACACACAAGCACGCGGTTTGATTGGCTAGAGCTTGTACTGGCATATGATTCGATTGGCTGACGCTTCCACCGAAGCTTCAAAAGTTGAACATTGCTCAACTTTCGTTGCGAGCAAATCTACGCTTCGCTCCCACAATGCAGTTCGGCGAAACGTGACGTCACCCCATTCAAAGTGAATGGGCAGAAGCTTTGAAGGTTCAACGCACGCCGCCGTGTGGACGGGCCGTTAGTGTGGCGCGGCACTGTTTCGCCGCAGTGCAACACTCCCAATCATACCGGTCAAATGACTCTGGTAACAAGCTAGCGCCGACCATTTTTCCAGACTCTGAGATAGCAAAGAAAATGTCATGTGATCGTACAAAAGCAGCGTCCATAATAACAGATGTGCTTTCCCCTGCCTCTGTGGAGAGTTAAAGACACCAGTGGTTCTAGGTGACAAAATAGCCCACACACTGTGTGGGGGGGGGCCCACCTGCTGTTGCTGTGATGGACAAAACTGAAAGCTATTTTATTTGATGTATTATTATGTTTTTGTTCCCTCCTGGACAGTTTTGATTTGTACTTATGGTTTTATTTTATCTATTAATTTATGTTGTGCCTACTTTTACAGGTAATACACTAGTTGAATTAGGAAGATGCATTTCTAAACACTTGAAGTGAATAATGCCTGCTGCCTTGGTTAGCCTTAGTTTACTTTTCTTTATTAAGATACTAAATTGTTACTGCAATTTGACTTCACTTCCTGTCATTGTTTATTGGATACTAAACCAAATGAAACAGAATAGTACTGTTGAGAGGGTGTCTCACATTGTCCCACACAAACATACTCCTTGAAACAGAGGGCCTCATCATATAACTTTGCGTGGGGCCTCATGTTGGCCAGGGACGGCCCTGATCTGGTTAGCTAGCGATGCTAACGAATATAAGAAGCTTTTTCTACAACCAGCACATCTTTATATGATCATTATAGTTATAAAAAATAAGAGAATAAAGTAAACAGGTATAAAATATTATATGACAGTAAAAAAAAGTTGTTATCAATAAACAAGAATACAGTTAGAAAGGGGAGTGATTTGTAAAATATCCATAAAGAAAAAAAAAATCTGCTTACAGTTCTGTTTCATATGGGTGTTGAGAGATGTATCCATAGATCTCTTCATGTTGCTCTCAAAGTGCACCAGATTGATGCTTTTAGACTTCAATCCCCCCCCCCACCCACTTAAATCATGGAAACTAAATACATTTGCACACATCTTGTGTCCATATCTTTTTGTTTTGGAGGTCATGCCACAACCGTGCACGTGCATGCATGCGCGAGTCATGAAAGAAAGGCGAAATGAATGGGCTGTGATTTTAGTATTTTTAAGCAGGTCAATAATTTGTACGGCCCTCGGAGGATGTTGAAAAATGTAAATGGCCCTTGAGAGGAAAAAGGTTCATTTCCAACACAATCTATAACTATCGACCAAAATACCTAGAGCCTCTATCATTTTTTAAATTCATTTAATCTATTTTTGTATTTGTTTTATATTCAATGTTTAAGATCTGTGATAAATAAAGTTCCACCTTATCTTATATGTTGTCATGTTGGTCTCTTTAACTGGAATATAGCCCTTAGAAGATCTCTAGGCAAGCAAACAAGTACCTGCTAAATTGTGTGAATTCAGATATAAAAGTGTAGTATGGGTGTGTGAAATGGCTTAAGGCTAAATGTTTAACTACATAATTAGTACAGATCTATCTTCTGTGTGTGCAGTGTTCACTATCTATAGTTATTATGTACTCATTGTATTCAGTTTTATAGGGCTATGTGTAATCTGCCATCTGATTGTGTTTTCTATTCTAGTACATGAAAGGAATGTCACACCGTATTAGAATAAAAATAAAAGCACATTTTATAATGCACTGCTTACCAAACAAACAGTTGTAAATCAAGTGGATTTTTTATACTGACACTTTAATGTGCGGAGCAGTAATAGAAAGCATCTCAAATATATTTATTTGACCTAAAGCTTCAACCCGTAAAGTGCAGGGTCAATTCTGTTAAAGGAAGCTTACAGAACATGCTGACAAATAACTAAAGTTGGAATTTTTTACAAAATACAATTTGCCTGGTAGATGATACATCTACCAAACTTTACAAAACGCTTTGTGTCATACTATAATTGGCATATACATTTTCTCAATTAGCAAGATTCACCTTCACTCAATGAGGTTTTGTTCTCGCTGTCTCGATAGAGAACAAGCGATATGGATCTCTTTAATATACAAGGAGTTCAAAAGGTTGTTTAAGGAATAGGTGCTCGTACTCCCGTAGTGCTCACCTCAGCTTATTTTAAAACGCAGATGCTGACAGTCAGAGGTAGAAGAAGAACATTATGTCCTGCAATCAAAACGTTTTTCAAGTAAAAAAACTAAAGTATTATCATCAAAATATAGTTAAGGTACCAAACGTAAGTAGTCATGGTGCAGATTGGTCCATTTCAGAATAATATATGATATGTTTTATAATGATTGATCATTAAAGTGATCTCAAAGCTGGTAAAGGTGCAGCTAGTTTGAATGACTTTGTATACTGCAGGGTAGCTTGTGAATTTACTCCAGGTGGAACTAAAGTCTGATTTAACACTTGATTAGATTTCACATCATTCATCCAGATCTGTAAAGTAACTAAAGGTATTAAATACATGTAGTGGAGGAAAAGTACACCCTTTACATCTGAATTGTAGTGGAGTATCAAAACATTTAAAGACTTAAGTAAAGGTCCCTGAACATTTTACTAAAGTACAGTACTAAATCTACTTGGTTACTTTAAACCTGTGTTGACAGTGAGCTGGGCGGCCGGAAGCAGCGGTGAGCACAGCTTCCTGTTCACAGACCTCACATGCTCATGCTAACAGACACACGTCACTCATGTACCTGCACGTGAAGCTAGATAAACATAAAAACAACTCTAATCAAACAATAAAAGGCCGAACAAGTGGAGGACAACAACCCTTCCGCTATGTACCCGTGGTGTGCCTGTAAAGGGAACTGTGAGCCGCGGGAAATCCGTGAAGAGTCGTAAAACAATAAGAGCCGAGTTTTTAGTTTGGTATTCTATGAGACAACATAAGTAGCAGCTGTACGTACATGAAGGAGAAGCAGGCTGTCCTCGCGGCTGGTATTGTGCGTAGCTTTTGCTGAATGCTGTGGTCCGTAGGAAGGAGAGCGCACGCGCAAAAAGAGGATGACAAGTTGAGGGGGGACCCAATGACGTCACCAAGTAGAACAGCCAATGAGCCGCGGTGATGCGTTCACAGCCCGGATATTTCCACCAATAAATGCATGCTGATTTATGTCTGACCTCGAGTAAAAACTAATTCTATTTTTGTGAAAGTGTTCTAGAGTTTTTTTTGTTTTTTTTAAATGAATGCCCTTCCTCTCACTTAACTCAATACATATATATGTATACATTTGTCTGAATTGTAAAAAGGATTTGGTAAGGCTTGTTGATGTTCAGGTCAAGTATTTTGAAAATATTCTTTATAGGTATTGAGTTTAGAAATAATATGAGGCAATTAAGGAGTTTTCTTATTGTAGTGTTCAATTGTTGATTTGTCTAAATGTTCATTATTTTTAAGTTGTGCCATAATAGCGACTTCTTCTACATTCCTGCCTATTAAATATATACTTAAGTAGTTGTTTTGTTTATAATTAACATCTGTCTAATTTAAATTGGGGTGCCCGTAAACTTTCTATAAAAACAAAACTTGAACAGAACTAACAACTAAATGGATTTGAAGACTTTTAGGATTATATACTTCAATAATGTGATATTTGGAATCGTCCAGATGTGCTTTTTTTTTGTTGAATTCATGTCAGTAGAATCTAAAACAGTTTTGTAATCTTTTTTATGGAAGGCTTCCATTTAAAAACTCACACTTTGCTCTCACTTATTCACCTACATGATTTATCTTAGCTCTCATTTTCAAACGGCATAGAAACCATGCCATAAGTGCATTGAGACACGTTTTGTTTTTTGCAATGAAATGGTTACTTTTATTACAGCTACTACTACAAAACACTCAATAGGGTTGTTGTGAGGGCATGCAGAGGTCAGTCCCCAGCGGACTGCTCCAGCTGCTGTGTCAGGACCACAGAGGCGAAGTGGACTCTTTCCTTCTTCAGGTTCTGTTTGAGTGTCTGCATCAGCCCCAGCTCCATGTTACATTACATTACATTGCATTTAGCTGACGCTTTTATCCAAAGCGACTTACAATAAGTGCATTCGACCAAGAAGATACAAACTAGAAGAAAACAGAATCATATAAGTCCATCAGGTTTCATAGAGCCAAAACATTTCAAGTGCTACTCAACTGGCTTTAGATAAGCCAGTCCTTTGTTAATATATAAGTGTGTAGTGCCGAGAGAAGGGAGTCGGAGGCGGTGCATCGAAGGTGCAAATCTGTACTTTAATGAGCAGCAGAAATGCACATGCTGTCGGGTCGCAGCCCGAGAAGAGAAGAGAAAGTGAAAGGGACACACACACAGTAGGTACCCCGGAGGTACCGTCAACATATATGTCCGTGCGGAAACAATACCCCCAACCTGTAGTTCCTGGATTGAATTATGTAACCCCGTTAATTAGTGATCACTACACAAGCCCCCCCAGAATTCAACCATGGACACAATCCTCGCGTCCGGGAGGAAGCACCACAGGGGCCGAGGAGGGCGGGGCCGCCGGCGAGGGCCGGGCCATGGAACGGGCCGTCGGAAGGGGGCCGCAGGAGAGGGTAGGGGCCCCAACGAGGGCGAGGGCATCCCCACCGGAGGGTGGGGGGCGGGCCGGAACGGGCCGTCGTCAGGGGGCCGCAGAAAGCAGGGTCGCCGTGTTGCGACGTGGGGACAGGCGTGAACCTCCCGGTGGTCCCCAGCAGGGAGGAGCGCTGCCCGGCCGCAGGCGAAGGCACAGCGGCGGCGGGCACGAAGTCCTCGGGAGGAAGGAGCCGTGGACAGGGGAGAGGCCAGACGGGGCGCCGTCCGAAGCCGCCGTCGAGGCGAACCGTGAGCCGCGGTTAGAGGAGAGGCCAGGCAGGGTCCGGGAGCGCGCCACCCACGGGCCGAAGAAGGCGCGGGCGATGGTCGAAGCTGCTGCCGAGGCGAAGGAAGAGGCCAGACAGGGTCCCGAAGCGCGCCACCCACGGGCCGATGAAGGCATGGGCGACGTCCGAAACCGTAGAGTCGAGGCGAGACGGGGTCCAGAAGCGCGCCACCCACGGGCCGAAGAAGGCGTGTGTGACGTCCGAAGCCGCCGTCGAGGTGGTGAAAAAGCGAGAGGGTCCACACGAGGCCGACCAGACATGGTCGAACCTCCTCTCAGGCACCAGAAAAAAAACTTAAAGGGTCGTCCTGTCCACGAACAAAAACAGGTGGGCGAAATGGCGCGAGGATCCACACGAGGCCGACCAGACATGATCGAACCTCCTCTCCGGCACCACAAAAAAACAGTCGGATGGCGATAGCTGCTAGTTGTCGTGGCTAGCCGTCGTTAGCCGTTGGTAGCTGCTAGCCGTTAGCAGTCGTGGCTAGCTGTTCTCGGCGGCCGTTAGTCGCTGGCCGGACATGCAGCCGCATGTCCCAAATAAACCCGGCACGGTTGTGTATCGGCTCCATGGAAGGCCTGCAGTCCCCCAGAGCCGAAAAGCCGTGGAAATGGCGAGCGTCGCCCGCGTCCATACCGGAGGGCGCACCGAGCCACAGTCTGCGCGCACGTGGCAGCCACGGACGTCTCCAAAAATCTCCGGCATTTCGAGAAAAACAGTATGTCTTTTGCTGTGTTCGATTCAGTCTCGGAACCTTCGCGAGACTTATGTCAGGGTCACCAATGTAGTGCCGAGAGAAGGGAGTCGGAGGCGGTGCATCGAAGGTGCAAATCTGTACTTTAATGAGCAGCAGAAATGCACATGCTGTCGGGTCGCAGCCCGAGAAGAGAAGAGAAAGTGAAAGGGACACACACACAGTAGGTACCCCGGAGGTACCGTCAACATATATGTCCGTGCGGAAACAATACCCCCAACCTGTAGTTCCTGGATTGAATTATGTAACCCCGTTAATCAGTGATCACTACAAGTGCTTTGTTAGTAATTGTATTGCTCGAAGTGGAGTCGAAAGAGATGAGTTTTCAGTCTGCGCCGGAAGATGTGTAAGCTTTCTGCTGTCCTGATGTCATCAATGGGGAGCTCATTCCACCATTTTGGAGCCAGGATAGCAAACCGACGTGTTTTTGCTGATGGAAACTTGGGTCCCCCCTCGCAGTGCGGGTGCAGCGAGCCGTTTGGCTGATGCAGAGCGGAGTGCACGTGCTGGGGTGTATGTCCTGGATGTAGGAAGGGCCAGAACCATTCACAGCATGGTACGCTAGTGCCAGTGTCTTGAAGTGGATTCTAGGAGTTACTGGAAGCCAGTGAAGGGAGCGGAGGAGCGGTGTGGTGTGGGAGAATTTAGGAAGGTTGAAGACCAGACGAGCAGTGTACTGCTGCAGCTGCCGGTCATACTGAGGCCAGGAGACGAGGCCGGGGCCGTTTGGAGAGCTGAAGGGATACATACATACAGCTACATTTGGACAATAATCTGATGATTTTCATCAACTCTTTTTACAATGTAATTATTCTGGAATTTCATCAATTCGTCATGCATCAATTTCAGTGAACATGTGATTTTACAACAATCCAGTTGTCTATAATGTATTTGTAGATGTGGGGGAAACTTCTGAAGCAATTGGAGTCACACGAGGAGAGCTGGAGCTTTGATGGCAAACACTGACGGTTTATTTGGAGCTTCGGCCGGAGAATTCACAAGACATGTCACGGGCCACGAGTTGACCACACGATTGAGATGCCACAATCAATTCCGAAGAACCCTCCTGTAGCTCGAGGTTTTAACTAGTTCAGAGTGTAATAATCAACATTCTTCAATAGATAGACTAAACAGCTGAGGACACTGAACCATATTTGTTGTCGCTTATGGCTCGGGGTCATTACACCCCGAGAAGGATGTGTTCCAGGTGTCCCACAACAATAACTATCTCTGACAGAGAGTTGCCCGGTCACAAACTGGTAACAACAACAACTTGCTAGGGCAGCCCCTTCTATGGGAGATAACGGCTGCTCAAGGTTGGTCAGCTGCGTCAGAGGGCAAAAGGTAAACATGTAGGGCGAAATTATTCCCTGACAGTAGATATATTCACATTCTGCTGAATATTGTTCCTTGCTCTGCTCTATCACAGAAGGACGATAATATTCTAGTAAGAATGACTTTTAATGAAGAACCTTGTCTGGCCAGTCTGACACTTTAATAAGACTTCATTTAAAAGCTGCTTTCTGTTCATGTTCTGTTGCAGAACAAACAGATACATAACACCGACATATCAAATGAATTATAACTTTAAAATAATGTTGCTGCGGCCATAAACATTTTTAAATGTTAAAAAGAAATAGGGGGGGGGGGTACATTTAGGAAGTGCATATATAGGTACCCTTTAGTTTAATTGGTGAGAATCAGGTGTGTGTGGAACGGGAACAAACTGTTTTTGACTATTTCACCTTAATTGTAGTCTGTTAATAAATGGACTGCTAAATCCAATGCTATTCAGCCACTGTTCTGCTGTTCTTCTCTGTGGTAAATGACAGATCTTTGGATAAAGTCGCAACAAAGTTTCCCATTTTCATAACCAGCAGACACATAGCAACATAAGCGTTCACTTGGAGTGCTAAGAGAGAGTGAATGAAACATTAAAGTTATGGCATTAAAACTAAACCACTAAGCTTAAGTCATTATAAGACAATAATCATTCCCAGAAGGATCTATTTTTTCTTGTCATTAACTGTCCGTGTCAAATGACCTTCTTTTTTTAATCATATTTAGTCAGCTTCATCCTGTTTTTAAAGTCTATTTAAAAAAACTGGATTTTAGTCAAAGAACAGCATGACTATTTTAGTCTCGTTTTGGTCAATGAATACTGTCTGAATCTGTTTAAGTCGTCAGCTTTTATGAACCTTTTAGGTAATCTACTCTAGCCAAAATATCACCTCTTTTTCCTGTTACTGTCCTTGGTAACTTCCGTTATCATTGCTAACTCCCTTTTTTTAGTTCATATAAAAATAATGATAAGTGCAGCTTTATTGTTGTTTTAAGGAAATACTCACCCAGTGCGAGCAAACTTGCACCAACGTGCCATCATGGTTCTACAAAGTGTCTCATCCTCCTTGGTAATGTTTCCTGAAGATGGGACAGGAATAGTTCAATCACAAATCAGAGACTGTTATCCATGATATCCCAGAAGTTCGGGATGAAGAGGTCGTGCTTTACATTGCATAATCCTCACATGTTTGTAATGAGAGTAGAAAGGAGCAAGAGAGACCATCTACTCTACAAAGATGTACTGGGTAACATACCTATGATTTTTAAATGTCCATTCCAGAAACATCCACCAAACACAAAGCCGACATCATCTGCATGATCTGCCTTCACAAAGGAAGGACGGTTGTTTTTGTGTATCTCAGCACGGTATGCAAACTCATACATGTAAACTGGAACACCCGCATCTAACTACACCAAGGAGACAAAAGGCCAGAGGTGTGTGCTTTGGCTGGGAGGAAGGGCAAAGATCAACAGCATAATCTCATATATATTTGCAGGTTATTATCATACTAACCACAGAGTGTTTGCATTAACTGTGAGGAGTTGCTTTCCTTAAAGCAGTTTAAAATGAGATGAAAGGAGCATCAACACTGACAGAATGTCCCCCTATACACACTGCTTCAATCAGTTTTCTTCAACATGTCACCTGAGAGGTACAGTATCCTGCCACCGTGACGACGGGCAGCGCCATCAGCATGTCGCCAATCATCTCAGTGAAGGCGTCTCTTATCTCCTCTGGTGTTCCAGCATCCTTCAGGTATTGGTCAGCGATGAGGCTGTTGGCAGCAGAGGCCTGGGACAGGGGAGGGTTGAATTGTGACTGGTGTGATGATCATATCATCTATGTGTTTGACAGACCAAGACAACCTTGAAGGTTAGGACGTTGAATGAAACCTTTGGGAGTTCACAAAATCCCTTGAGCTGACCTTCTTTTCAATATGATGATAATACCATAAAATGCTTATTGTATAGATTTTTATATTTTGCCTAAATATTCAAAAAACGTTATTATCTTAATAGTTATAACTGGATCAAACAGTAGTTCATTGTATTTCACTGTACACTATTTAACCTTACTTTCTGTTTCTTTCACCTGCACTATTTGATTTTATTCAAATGTATCGTACTCTGTTCATTTGCACTATTTGAATTTTTTGTATCTTTTTTATTATTATTATTGTTATTTTGTTGTCTTATGTCCTATATATAATATGTTGCATTGTTGGAAGAGCTCGGGCCTAAGATTCTCATTTCCATAACTACATTGTAGCTGCTGTGCACATGATAATAAAACCCTTGAATGTTTAAGACCATGTCTTGAAGGGATCTTTAATCTTATTCCATCAGTTTATGTTATATCACTTGCATGAAATACTCTACTACTTACTTACTTTGCAATATTAGAAACTGAAATGAAGCGATGCACTGGGCCCTGCCATAAGCCCATGCTTTGGTCTGTGTGTTTGAAGGACTTGTTTGTATATATGTTTGCTTGCTACCTGCCTGGCTTTCCTCATAAGAGATCATTTACAGAATAAATATGTCATTAAATTGTTGTTAGTGATAGTACCATATTGTTTTGACTGAATATTTTTAAGGGGCAAAAAATTCAAAACGTAAAATAACGGAGCTCACCCCTGCAGGGTTGAAGATGTTGGCCACTGACAGGACTGACTCTCTGTTCATGCCGCTCTCCCAGCCTGGGGGTGCGAAGCTCTGTGATCAGCATGAGACAACGCTCAAGGAGCATTGTTAAAGAGGCTGGGTGAACAACATTATGTGTGATGTGAAGTGAGTGACCTGAGGCAGGATCCATCCAAACTCATGGTTTGTTATTCCCATCATCACTGGAACCTACAACACCTCTTTCCTCTTGAGGAGCTCTTCTGCTGTGTCTGTCAGAAACACGCCATCCACCGCCGCTCCCAGGTACACCTTCATCTAAACACAACATTTAACTCCAGCTGGATGAAGGTAAACCATCCTTCAGTGTTTTCAGTGTTTCACTTTCAAGCAGCCAACAGTGCTCACAGGCTGCCCCCCTGTGGCCAAGGTATCCCTAACACGTGAAGTTTTGACACTGAACCTTATAAAAATTAGAATGTATTTTTTTGTGAGTTATTCCCCCTCTGTAGTTGTGTCATATAAGAGCACCATATATTTCATACATAATTCATAATTAGGATATTTAGATATAGATTTTGATCCTATAACCCATAATTTGAAATATGTAGTTTTAGTCTATTTCTTCTTCTATTATTCTACCATTCAGGAACAAACACACAGAAACTTTGTAAAATTAGAAAGTGTCCTGCTAGTTCTGGCTTAACTTTTCTTCATTAAAACTTTGATAACAGATTGATACAGAGGGATACTGGAAATAAAATAAGCAGGACAGGATTAAGCACAAAATCAACAAAAATTAGAGCTGAAGACATCAAAGACATCTGCGTGCAAAAGTTCATTTCAAATGAACCTTTTTAGTTGCTTCGACTAGTTCATCTCTACTTTTCTCCCTCGTACATTGGACCATTTCCTCTGTGCTGCTGCGGTAACATCCAGTTAGGTTGGCAACAATCTGTGGAGCTAGTGGAGCCTTGCAGATGGGGGTGCTGCAGCCCCCTCAGCACCCCCCCTCTGAAACGTTGGGTTACGTATTGTAACCCTTGTTATATTAGCACAGGCGGAGCCCTCTACTGGACTCTATGGGTACTACCTTATCCTGCGTGCATTCTCCCACTGACACTTCTATAGACGTAGCCGGCCTAGGGCGGGCCTACCTGAATGCGCGCGCATCACACCGTATAAAAGGAGGCCTCGCCTCCTGACTATCATCCTATACCTCTCTTCAGCGAGCGGAATAGGACAGACAGTGCCCTGAGTAGAGGGCTCCGCCTGTGCTATTATAACAAGGGTTACAATACGTAACCCAACGTTATATCTCTCACAGGCTCCGCCCTCTACTGGACTCTATGGGTACAGTGGGTGGAGCCCTGATGTATACGCGCACTGTCGTCCAACACCATTCCACCCTACTGCCCCTGACCGGCTTTTCTGGTCAGCAACTGCTGCCCCACATTCTGGGCTGCGGCTGACAGAGCACACCCTGCTGCGCCTACCTCGCAGAAAGTGTGCTCAAAAAACAGTGCCAGGGGACCACCCCCCCCCCCCCCCGCCCATAGACGGATGGGGAGAGCCCCCTCGACCCCGTATGGGCTTACTACGCACCTGCCTTCCTGAATCCCGAAGGATAACAGGGAGAGCGCCAGCGCCCATGCCTCACACTCAAGCACTGACCCCGTGAAGAGTGTGAGAGGACTAAAATGTGGGGGGGCAGCCCCTCCGCCCCGTAACGGGCCAGCGCGCCCCTTTCCTATCCCGGGACCCTCAGAGGGCCCAGGAAAGGCGAAGGTGCATCACGTCCGGGGAGGGGGTCAGATGCCAACTGACCCACAACCCCCCCCCCCATACAAATCCTGTGTTGCCCCAGCAAGCACAGACGAGGAGAAAGAGCCAGACATGTCCAAGAGATAAAAACCTTATGAAGGGGCCTGGCGTCGACCAAGACGCCGCTGTGCTATATCCTCCACACTCACACCGTTGAATAAAGCTGTTGACACAGCTACAGCCCGTGTGGAGTGCGCACAAATCCCCGTGGGGCAGGCTCTCCCCGCCTGTCCGTAGTCATGTGCAATGCACTCGCAGAGCCAGCCTGCCAGGCGTTTCTTGGACAGAGCTTTCCCGATCACCCCGCCCCCGAAGCACACGAACAGCTGTTCGGTGCGTCTAAGGGCAGCCGTGAGCTCCACATAACATGCTAGCGCACGCACCGGGCAGAGGAGGTGCAGTTTAGCCTCCCTGGCCCCACCATGGGGGGGAGACTAAAACCCCCTAACTGAATAGCCCTCGACCTGAACGCACTCCTTAGGTTTTTAGGCACAAAGGAGGGGTTCGGTCTAAGTGTCGCACCGCTCACGTCACCCCAAATCAGTAAACAACTCGGGTGCACCGACAGAGTGGTTAACTCGGACACTCTTTTGGCTGACGTTAAGGCAAGAAGCAAAGCTGTTTTCCACGACAATGCTTTCAGAGGGGAGAGCTCCAGAGGCTCAAATGGTCCCGAGGCCAGAGCCTCGAGCACTAGGGGCAGGTCCCACTGCGGGGTGGAGACGTGCACTACAGGGCGCAGCCTCCTGACCCCCTGTAAAAACCGTGACATCAGTGGTTGACTAAAGGCTGACCTGCCACCAAATCCCTCATGACAGGACGAGATGGCTGCTGCATACACCTTCACTGTGGAATGAGCAAGCCCTCTGTCCACCAATAACTGTAAGAAGGACAAAATAGAGCCTAGCTCACAAGATAGGGGCTCTATTCTCTGCTCCTCACACCATCGCTGGAATCCCAGCCACTTTGGCCTGTAACAGGCTGTGGTGAATCCTGCTCTAGCTGCCTGGATAGACTGAATAACACTATCAGACAATCCACCCTGTCTCAGCCTGTCCCTCTCAGGAGCCAAGCCTGGAGAGGTTGGCCGAGCGTGGGTAACGCCCCGATTGCACCTGCCTCTTGAGACATCGCCCCCCAGAACTGGGGAAGCACCCAGGGCTGGCCCACCTTCATCTGTGTCATCTCTGAGTACCATGGCGCCCCAACGCGGTCCGGAGCCACTAGGACGACTGACAGACGTTCTCGCCTCACTCTCCCCAGGAAAGGGAGAATGAGACGCAGCGGTGGAAAGGCGTATAGCAGCTTCCTTGGCCATGGCTCGTGTGCAAACGCGTCCACCCCCAAGGGCGGGTCGTCGCTCAGGGCCATGGAGAACCACAGGGCACAGTGGCTGTTGCACCGGCTGGCGAACAGGTCCACTTCTGCTCTCCCGAACTGGGCCCAGATCTGCTTCACCACCTCCGGGTGAAGTACCCACTCGCCTGGCAGGGGGCCGCCCCTCGACATGAGGTCGGCCCCTCTGTTCTCCAGTCCCGGGACATGGAGGGCTCTCAGAGAAAACACCACCTCTGAGGCCCATAACCACAGCTCCTCCGCTGTGGTCAACAAGGAGGCAGAGCGGACTCCGCCCTGCCTGTTGATATAAGCCACTGTGGTGCTGTTGTCGCTCCTGACCATTACATGTCTCCCCTGAATTAGGGGCATGAAATGCCGGAGGACTAACACTACTGCCCGTAGCTCTAGGAGGTTGCTGTGTCGAGACTCTGTCAGAGCCCAGCGCCCACCTATAGCCCTCTTCAGGCAGGTCCCTCCCCATCCTGTTCTGGACGTGTCCGTGAACACTGTGATGTAGGAGGTCACCCGTCCCAGTGGAGACCCCCAAAATCTCCTCTAGGCGGCTGAAGCGCTGGGTGACCGAGGAGATCGACCCAAAGAGCCCCTCCGTGGACACGGGAGCGGTAAGCCTACACGCTCCGCCGCCAGAGTCCTCACCGCCGGGAAATCCATCCGCGCAGACCTGAGAGTTGGACCTCCGGTCAGCGAGGCGTCCTCCTCGTCCTCCATCGGAACCGAACCCGCCTGGTCCCATGGAAGGGAGAACCGGAACGACGTCTCCTCGCTCCCCGAATCGCCCACGTCCACGACGTCGAGCTCCAGATCCTCCGACTCCTCCTGCGGGGTAGCCCTCGCCAGGAAGTGCTGCCCACGATGCTCTCGTGTGAGCCACGGGATCATCTGGCAGTCTGGGCATATCGGCGTCGGGCCCATATTACACACCGCGTAGTCAGGCCCCAAGGACGTGAAGCAGAAGGGCAATTAGATACGGGCATTTCGGGCAGGTCCTAAGGTCAAGCACTGACTCCATACTCTCACTTTACTCTCTCTTTCTCAATCGTCTCGAAGCTCGTGGAATCACTTCCGCTGCTGAAGAGAAAAAGGATGATAGTCAGGAGGCGAGGCCTCCTTTTATACGGTGTGATGCGCACGCATTCAGGTAGGCCCGCCCTAGGCCGGCTACGTCTATAGAAGTCTCAGTGGGAGAATGCACGCAGGATAAGGTAGTACCCATAGAGTCCAGTAGAGGGCGGAGCCTGTGAGAGATATAACAGTCCTTTTGCTTGTGGAGACAGAGTCTGAATATTAAGGTTGATAAATATGTTGTTAACATAGATTCAAAATGCATTCACAAATACAGACAGAGGTTCACACATTTGGGTCATGTTAAAAATATATGTAAATAACATTTGGTTGGTTTTCTTTCTTTCTGTTTCGTGTGAGACATTTTCGTTACCAGTATAGCTGCACTGACGCCTCCTGCAGATTCTCCAGTGACTGTGACAGTTTTTGGATCGCAAACCAAAGACCTCGATATTTTCTTGCACCCATCTTAGGGCCGCTAGCTGGTCCAAGAAACCCCAATTGCCCTGAGCATGGTGGTCTCCAGTGCTGTTTAAAACCAAAAAATCAAGACACTCGCCTAGGATCTTTAGAGAATCATTTAGCTAAGAAAAGTCTGGAAAACACGGTGATACTGTTGGTATTTGCAGTATTTATCTTTATTTGAATCCAGTTAGAAATGCAATGAATAACACAATCTCTTACCTGAAGAATCCCAGAATGCCAAGGCGATACTGAATAACAACCATCACTATGTTTTCATAAGCAGCTAATGGAGCACCTTCTCCATGGATCCACACCATCACCTGACCACAAGACCGGAGCTGCTGTCACACCTCTCCATCCACAAAGAGCACCTCATTGTAAAGCATTGCAATCAAAAGGTTACACTAAGATACATATTTCTGTTTACAAAACGGTACTGCTTTGAGTCCCTGAAGGTGTATATCAATAAACCACTCCAAGCTCTATGTGATTAAGTTGGCGGTTCTAGGGGGGGGGGGGCAACAGGCGCGAGTGCCCCCGTAACACTGACCAGGGACCCCCCTGTGGCCCCCTTCCAAAAAAACAGGTTACAATATTACGATTTATTGGATCTAAAATAAATCAGAGACCCGGATGTACAGTGGAGATTAAACTGTTCATTACCTTATAATAGCAAATACTGTTTATGTGTTTGAATTAAATTGTCACTTAAAGTTACTAAAACAAATACTCTAAATGAAAAAAACTACTGAAACAAAGGACTGTAACTTAAATTTACTAAAACAAATACCTTTACAGAAACAAATACCAATTACTGTATTTTATGTTTATTTTACACAATTACTCTATACTGTCTTTGTCTTTTTAACCCGTTTTTATTCTGCCCCTTTCATGAAATAACTGGCCCCAGCCTGGCCCCCCCAGTAAAATTAGTCTAGAACCGCCACTGCCTCATTGTAATTGTGATGCCTCCCTTGTCAACAACAGCCTATCTACCAATTGGATCAAATATAAAAGTCAGCCGAATTAGTGTTGATACTGCAAGGAGACGTATTGTGTGAAAAGAAATGTAAGATGTTGTTTAATTGCTTATATATTTAAGATCCACGTCAAGTTTTCAGTTTTGGCGGCAGTTCCTGTTTGTCTAGAAGTCTTGTCATCAGGGCTCTATACATAGAGTTAACTACGGCAGATATGTAATATTTAATGCAGCCGAAACATGTATTACAATGCCGTTATGTGATGACTTTCAAAGAGAAAAGCAAGCACACTCGGAATAATGTATTATTTAATTGTTTTATACAGTCTATGGTTGCTACAGAGGATTGTGGGTAATGTAATGTCTTCGGCCATCCAAAACTCATAGAAAACGACTTGTTTCTCAGAATTGAAGGGGAAAACATGACAAAAGCATTGTACACACACTAAAAACCTATCAATGTCGTTTAATTAACAAGGATAAACTGGTGTTTTTGAAGAGAAAAGCAAGCACACTCGGAATAATGTATTATTAAATTTTTTTATACAGTCTATGGTTGCTACAGAGGATTGTGGGTAATGTAATGTCTTCGGCCATCCAAAACTCATAGAAAACGACTTGTTTCTCAGAATTGAAGGGGAAAACGTGACAAAAGCATTGTATACACACTAAAACCGTCGTTTAATTAACAAGGATACAGTAATCTGGTGTTTTTGAGTTGATGAGTGGAGATATCACTGTCAAATCAATCGACAGTAAGGGGAATACTTACTTCCGGGTGTACAATTCTCCGTTATCCAATGGGAATGAACACTCACATTGCCTTTAACAGCCTCCGACACAAACGTTCGCGCGGAGGGTCCGCCACATTAAGGCCTAGGCTCCACGGGAACAAAAACGGGTTGAATCCGCATATTTCTCATGCGTATAGCCCTTTAAACTCGACGACGCCGTAACGGAAACGTAGAAACAGACCCTGCAAACGACAACGGGTCCAAAGGTGGATAGATCTGGGAACGGAGCACTCTGGGGGGTCCAACGGCTCCGTGTGGTAGCCTATACGGTCATCCGTTTCTGATAATGACGACGCAATAGCCCCGCCTCTCCCCGCCTCTGCTGCTCACCCCCGCAAAAGTACACTGCACACTGAATTCAGATTATTTATCTTTATCTCGATATGGACATAAACGCGAGTGAAGTCTAATCTGACAGGACAGAGACACGCAGCTCCTCCCGCTGTGATGCAGCGGGAGGAAAACACACACTTCAAGTCAGATCATCACCCTTAGCTATTTTAATTACCTCTCAAACTACCTAAACTAGTTATAAATAGGTTTATTTTTACTGTCGAGTCATCATTACTGGATCAGCTGCTGCATGAGACAGACACTGACGCTGTCAGAAGAGAGGAAAAAGAGACAGGCTCTGTGTATTTTATTATCATATATCATTATATCGTCGTTATTCATTTGTTTTAAAGCTCAATAAATAACAAAGAAGACCTTTGACCGGCACTTTTATAATTTTGTCCGGAAGATTTAAACTTTAACACACGTTGACCGGCGAAAAACTCTGCCCGGATCCCTCGGCCCCCACCGCGGAGAATAAACAGAAGTGCAGCCATGACAACCATTCTTCTTCACTGCTTTTGTGGAGGAAGTTGCTGCTTTTGTGGAGGAAGTTACAGCGCCACGTACAGGCTCGGCATATGTACTGCAGCTTTTCCAGCGGTTGGATGTAAACGGAGCCGTCTCGTGGAGCTTGACACAATCCGGTGTATATTGCGTGTGGGCGGAAGGTTTTTTGCGGTTGCGTTTGCGTTACTCCGATGCGTTTTGCCGTTTTTGTTCCCGTGGAGCCTAGGCCTAAGTGCTGTTCCAAACCAACGAGTGTGGAGAGGTGTGGAGGGGGAGTGGGCTATCAAGCCCTCAAACAGCGAGTCTGCATCGGTGCTGACTTGAGACCGGTCTCTACCTGACCGGTCTCAACGCTGTGTGTGTCCGTCAAGTAGTTCCAGCAAACATCCACTGATAAATTGCGATGTTAACAACCTCATGATAACCTCATATTTTTTTAACTTAGGATCATACCTGTGTTTAGTCTAGAAAAAGGTAAATGTGTGCATTTTATTATAAAGTTGTGTATATTTACAGACTGTTGCAAAAACTAAGAAGCTTATAAACATCAGGTTTAAAACTAAAAGATCTTTACAAAAAAGTAACACAATGAAAGATGTTTGGAGTTTTATTTGAGTTCTTAATTTACATTTTTTGTCTAAGAGATGCTGATTTGAAACCGTTGTTACATACAGTTACGGCATTTCCTGTTTCTGCCGGAGAGAGGGGAGTTTGTCCCAAAGCTTGCCGCTGTATTTACTCCCTCCATCTGACAGGAGGGAGCCTCGTTGAGCTGCGAGTGTGGCTACAGACGGAGTTCACTCCGCCACGGAGGGGTAGGGTCGAGGGAGTGGTTTGGGATTGGGCCATACAGTCTATGGTTGCTACAGAGGATTGTGGGTAATGTAATGTCTTCGGCCATCCAAAACTCATAGAAAACGACTTGTTTCTCAGAATTGAAGGGGAAAACGTGACAAAAGCATTGTACACTAAAACCTATCAATGTCGTTTAATTAACAAGGATAATCTGGTGTTTTTGAGTTGATGAGTAGTGGAGATATTGTCACGGCCCAAACTGTGTCCCTGTCAGGGCTCGAGCTTAAGGACGTCCCGTCGTCCCGGGGCCGAAAAAAATAGGGTCGGGGAGGATAAAAAATAATCTTGGGACGAATTTGGGACGAGAGTTAAAATAAAAATACCCTGATAACTCTACTACAGTACGAACGGCGATGAAAATGAAACTGACTGCACGTTTTGTGTAGCACACAGTTATTAAACCTCCTTGTCAACATAAACACACACGCACAAAACATTTAGCAAACCGCGAAATACACACACACACACACACACACACACACACACACACACAGCTGTGCCCGCAAACTCCTGGCCCGCAAATTATTGGGTCTAGCTATGTACTGAGTGTGTGTATTTCGCGTTGAGTGATGTACAATGACAATGGCATCCCGTGGAGGAATTCTGCAATTGTTTACGTTACATCACGAAAACGCACAGCAGAACCTAACCCTGGAGCGCCGGCCTCTTTATTTACTAACTCCTCTTCATCCCCTATGGGTAATAAGGCTGAGATGAGAACTCTCCATCGTATTTAGTCCTTAGCAATATGCTGCGTCTCTCCCCATGTAGGGATGGGTACCGAGCCCCGGTATTAAACGGGCCCCGGGCCGGAATTATTAAAGACAGTGGTAGCGTTAAGCTCCGACGTTATCTGACTTTTTATCGGTAGTGGAGACATTTAAAACATATATGTCATGTATTATTGCTACATGAACATTATATCGCAGTTTTAGTTTCGCCAACTCCGTTTCTAATATGCAATAAGTCTACAAAATGCGTCTATGATGTATTTTCGATCTTATTTTCGATCTTTCCAATCCAGACGAGAGAGCTCTCCCCGTCTGTGTGCGAGGGGGCGGGGCAGTTTGTAAAGGTCTCCTGACTGTGTTACAGACTGTCATCCTGGTTAGTGGTTACTCTGGGTTCTGTCTTCTGTCTTCAGGACAGAGTGTTGGATGTTTTTGATAATTGGATAGAACTTGATTGGATTCAATATTAGAGTAACTTTCTCGCTTGTGTGTTTTTTTTAAATATATTTGGCCTTTGTTTATGTGTTTGACTGATTTACTCAATTAAAAAGGTTGATGAATTATCATCTAATGATTTGTATGATGTTTTATTTATGTTAAAGGTCACTTTGAATGATTTTAACTAATGATAATGTAGAAAAACTAATATTTTAAATTCGGGACGGTCCACATTAATTTCGGGACGGCTTAGATTGTATTTCGGGACGGTTCCGGGAGGATGGTGAAAGAAGTTAGCCGAGAGCCCTGGTCCCTGTGTGTCCCTGTTTGTTCCCCTGTGTGTGTGTGGAGGGGGTGTGGTTTCCCTTGCAGGCAGCAGCCTGATTGCACTCACCTGGCCGACCGACTCAGCTGTCCCTCATCAATCCAATCAGGACACAGCATATCTACTCCAGTCTCCCAGCAACTCACCGCCAGATTGTTTTCTACACCAGTGGTATTGCATCCTCCTGGCTGCTCAATTCAGTTATCCTGTCTGCGTGTTATTCTGTACTTTTTGTAATTAGTTTCTCCTTGTGCTTCTAGTGCGATCCCTCAGCCATCGGTCACCAGAGCTTCCAGTCAACCTGCCTGCTTCTTCCTTCACCATACCTGCCTGCCCTGTTCTCAGTCCAGCCTGA